ACTCTGCCTCTCGTTTTGCTTGGCTTATTCAAATATCTGTTCTTATCTATTTTCTTGTGTATTTTCTGTTATCATATCTGATTTTATTGCTATCTGATTGTATCGTACTCTTACTATTCTCCTATGCTAAGTTGCCCACCAAGACTCTAATGAAAAGTTTTTAAACTTTATTTTTTATGGTGAAAGGCACTTCTCTGGAAATAGTTAAAGGGTTTTGGCATCATCAAAAAGGGGGAAATTGTAAGGAATAATTGTATTTAGATTTTGATGATGCTAGGTTAATTAGAATTTGAAAGTACCCCATTAGAAATTGTGTATTAGAATTTCTGTTGTAAGTTTTAGCTTAGTCTGTCTGCCAGAGTTCCATCTTGTCTCTACCAGAGTTGCTCCCAGAGTTGCTCACCAGAGAAGCCATCAGAAACTAGTTATCAGAAAGATACCACAGTTGGCAACAGAGACGGACTTCAGAGTTTGGACCAGAGAACCTCTTTGGACTCTGCTAAATCCACCAGATTCGGGAAGCCTTTCCAACGGTCGTTAAACTAACGGGAAATCCCCTAACGGTTACGAACCTTTCAACGGAAACATGGCACTGTACACGCATTAAATGCACATTTAATGTTGTACGTACGAAGAGATATTTAAAGCTGATGATTGACCATGCGAGTATCTTTACGCCCCCAAAATAGCAAGTCGAAGGTCCAACCGGTCAAGTCAACAGTACATGCAATTAATGAAGCTGTCTTCTACACTCCAACGGGAAGACTGCTCCCAGTATAAAAGATACACTCTGAAGAACTAAGAGTAACAACTTTGCCAAGATAACTTTGCGTAAACAACCTTCTTAAGATTCAAACTTCATTCTCAAACAAGAAAAGGCTCCAGTTGGAAGATATACTTTCCTATCCTTTATCCAACTAGCAAACTGCAAAGTTACTCAGTTCTTCAACACTTCGAAAGCTTCATATATCTATCCTTTGTGAAGAAGCAACGTTGGAGAAAACTGATTTTATATCAAACACTTCTTGAAAAAGAAGGGACGTCTCAAACTAGCTGGAGTAAGTGAAGTGGGGATACTTCAAGAGACTCAGTGAAACGAGACCAGCCATCAGGAAGCAGGACTGCATCCCGGGTGGCAACTAGACTTGAAGAAGACGAGGAGTGCTTCTTAAGCTCTAGGGACTAAGGCGTTGTAAACTGTTGTTTTTGCAAGCTTAGTGGAGCAGTGGATTAGAGGAACAAGTTGTTCCTTGAACCACTATAAAAACCCCGATGTCATTTACTTTAAGCTTTTAATTTCTGTACTTAAGATTATACTGACTAACTCTTAAGGTTGGACTCTGTGTCCAGCAGATCTTCCTTCAGAGTTATCAGAAAGGCATTTTGCCTTAGCTTTCTTCTAGAGGCTACCCGGACAGAAACTTATCCGCTGCCTGGTCTAGTTCTGCCATCAGAACTTGACCATCTCTGTCACCAGATTTGGACCATCTCTGTCAAGTCAGGCTTGACTTGGAGAAAAGTTTAAATTCCTAAACAGTCTATTCACCCCTCCCCCCCCCCCCCCCCCTCTAGACTGTTTCCATTACAAACGGGACCAACAAATTACAAAATTAAATAAATTTGAATGGATTAGATAGGCAAGTCATTGTAATTCAAACATTTTCATTTCTTAATGAGCATTAAGAAATGAAAGTGATTGAACTACAATGACTTACCTATTTTATCATACAAACTTGATACTCATTAAACCAAGACATTCTGATAAAGGTTTTAAATTAGTTATAGACCTTTTAAAGTTGTTTGATGTCTTCGGTGCGGGAAGTAGTGGAATTTATTTTGCAAAGAAGTCAATTAAAACCCAAGCACAATTAAAGGTGGACAGTTGGAGTTCATAATTTTATACGGAGGAAGATTACCAAAGACCTATTTTGCCACTCATGAAGGAGGAAAAACGGAAGTTCGTGACGAATCCAACCACACAACTTGATAAAACACTTCAATATGTTTTAATACATTTTTGTGTACCTACTACCTAGTATTTATATCTTTTTGAATTAGATTGTGAATATTTATATGATGATATATTATTGAGATATTACCCGAAATAGGACTAAAATAGTTTGAAAATTCCAAAATAGGACTATCATGTTTTTATTTCCAAAATATGACTAATTACTGCCATGTTTTGGCAATACCAGACTTCAAAGATGGCAGTATTTTCTAAACATGACAATAATTAGTCTTATTTTGGGAATAAAAACATGACAGGCCTATTTTGGAATTTTGAAACTGTTTTAGTCCTATTTCGGAAACTTTCCGAATATTATTTCACTACGTGAATGAATTAAAATGAACAAGGGCCACTACGAGGGAAACACGGTTATAGCCGATTGTAACACAAGTTTGTCATTAATCCCTTATTGTCATTAATCCCTTGCATTTTTTTGGGAGTCCTCCGTAATACGGAAATCCCTTTGTTATTAAAGTATGCTGCCATGGCTACAAACTTTATAAAGGATTATTGGCTCTTATTCCCTTATGCAACTTGACGGAAATCTTGTACCATCATTTTATTTTCTTATTAGCGACTAATAAGGGAACAAAACGCAAGATATCGACGATTTGTCCATACCAGATTGTATGGTAAACCGTGATTTTGTGAGAAGGATCCAAACAACGGAAGTTAAAGAAGCTCTGAGGAAGATGGGTCGGAAAAGAGCAATGGGGCCAGATGGCATACCGATCGAGGCTTGGAGAAGTTTGGGAGAGAGAGGCGTCGAGTGGTTAACAAGTTTCTTCAACATGATTTGGAGAAACAACAAGATACCAACGAGTTGGAGGAAGAGTACTCTTATCCCTTTATTTAAGAATAAAGGTGATGTACAAAAATGTGCCAACTATCGAGGGATTAAGCTTATGAGTCACACCATGAAACTTTGGGAGCGAGTGATTGAGCAAAGACTTTGAAGGATTGTGAAGATTTCAGAGAATCAATTCGGTTTTATGCCTGGTCGCTCAACAACTGAGGCCATTCACCTTCTTCGGCAACTTATGGAGAAGTATAGAGATGCTCATAAGGATCTGCATTTGGTGTTAATTGACTTAGAAAAGGCATATGATAGGGTACCTCGAGAAGTTCTTTGGTGGGCCTTAACTAGGAAAGGCATATCACGCAAGTATATCAGCATCATCATGGATATGTATGAGGATTGTACTACAAGTGTTCGTACTAGTGTAGGGAGGACTGAAGAGTTCCCTATTACTATCGGAGTGCACCAAGGATCGGCCTTGAGTCCTTTCTTATTTGCCATAGTCATGGATGAACTTACGAAGTCAATTCAAGATGATATACCGTGGTGCATGATGTTTGCCGACGATATTGTATTGATTGATGAGATGCAATCAGGTCTTAAAGCAAAGTTAGAAGTATGGCAACAAACATTGGAGAATAAGGGTTTCAAACTAAGTTGAAGTAAGACAGAGTATATGGAGTGCAAGTTTGGTGGAGGTAGAAGTAGTGGTAATAGCGGAATTACTCTGGATGGTAAGGAGATACCAGTCAGCGATATGTTCCGTTACTTGGGCTCCATAATTCAGAAGGACGGTGAGTTAGATGGAGATGTATCCCATAGAATCAGAACAGGGTGGATGAAGTGGAAGAGTGCGTCAGGATTTCTATGCGACCGAGGTATGCCGACTAGACTGAAGGGTAAATTTTAAACGACAGCAAATAGGCCTGCATTAGTGTATGGCGTAGAGTGTTGGGCGGTGAAACAATGTCACGTTCAAAAGATGAGTGTGGCAGAGATGCGCATGCTGCGTTGGATGTGTGGGCATATTAGGAAGGACCGCGTGAGGAATGAGACAATCAGACAAAGGGTGGGAGTAGCACCTATTGAAGACAAGATGCGGGAGTCGCGCCTACGGTGGTTTGGTCATGTGCGTAGAAGACCGAGTGATGCACCTGTTAGGCGAGTTGAGATGTGTGGAGAAGAGGCAGGGAAGAGAGGGAGAGGAAGACCCAAACAGACGTGCGTTAGGGGAGTTTGAAGTGATATGCTTCTTCTGGATTGGATGAGGGCATGACTTTGGAGAGAACTAAGTGGAAGACGAAGAGAAGGGAGGGTGTTTGCGAGCAGAATAGGAATTTGCGATAGAAATTGAAACGGCCAGCACCTTAAACGCTTGGTTTATTAGCTTTTCTAATTTTGACTGTTTGGGATAAAAAGCCAAGTGAAAAGGCGAGTTAATAAAACAATCATATTAACTGTTTATCTAGTCAAAAAGCTAAATAGTGGTCAAATCAACCAAAAAACAGCCGATAAGCTCCTAACCAAACACACCATTTATAAAAGTTTACTTCGTTAAAAAATTATTAATGAAGAAGTTAAGAAAATTACATGAAAGGAAAGTCAAAAGAATTTAAGAAAATTACATGGAAGGAAAGCCTTAACCTCAATATGGATGTTTATCTTTTTGAATTCTTGGTATTTAGTCAAAAACTTATACTGGATTATGCTACGAATGAGGTTTTTTAAACAGCTAATTACATATTCAAACAACAGTGTAATGCTAAAAAATCGTCTGCATCTGTTTTTCGATATCTTTTGGAAAAAGTTTGAATATTTATGAATGAGGAGAGAAATTTAAATGATGATGATGTTCACAATCAATACTTCATCACTTCATGAGGTGTTCTCTCTTCCATATGTGTACAAACCTAAGTCCCTTATGGAGAAGAACTGAAGAAGACAAGAACGACCAAGGGCCAAACTAGTATGCTAATTAAGTGCTGAACTGTGAGAAAAAAAATACCGAGTTATCCAGCTAGTGCTACACAAAAAGTCAGGGTAACATATGTTGTGTATTGCTATTAAACGCTAAATGACCGATACAAACACGACAAATTTCATTAATCAATCTCTAATTATTTTGAAGTTGTTTTCTTTGGTTTCTTTTCACCATCCATCTTTGAAATATGTTACATCATTAGCCACACACAGTATTTGAATACAGAACAATGGTTGATAGTTGGAGTGGCAGTAGCGGTGGGATGGCGGGAATTTATATAGCAAACTGATGACTGTGATAGGGTTACATTAAAAAACTTTATTAGGAAAGTTGACTAATACCATGATAATAACAATAATGTAGTATATTGATTATTAACTACTGATGTATTTAGCACAATGGTCACAACCTACTGTATACTTTGATCTCCTAAATACAAATACATACACAATGTCCAACCAAGACATCTAGTGATCCATCCATGACAGGGAGCTTACTGACAAATTGTGGGATGTCACGCAACAGGAATTTTGGGTTCCCCTAAATTCACGAAGGACTGTGCACGAGCCAGATTCACTAATGCAGTAGTCCAAGAGACAAGATGATTCATAAATACTTCAACATACTCGTCTCTATTGTTCTGTGAACCCAAAATAAGCGCAAGAGAATCGAAACTTTAGAAAGAATATATGAACACAGAATAGTAATGAGAGTCCACAGATGTATAGCGCTTGTTACCTTGTAATCCATATAGTAAGTGTGCTGCAAAGCAGAAAAAGATTAGATATTGTCAGCGTGTATTATGACAGTATGCAAAGTGTGCTGTGTGCGTGTGAATAAATGGGAAGAGGGGTTCATCATCACTACATACTTCCAAGTTCCAACTATGTTAGGGTTAGGGGCATGATACTTGCAGAGTCAGTTTATCATCATAAAATATAGTTTATCACCACATAAGTTCATGCAAAAATGCATTTTGCTTCACACAGAACGCTCTTCCTGTCGCAACCTTCTTACAGCAATAATGACATAAGATTCAAAGGTTTTTTCACTTTCATGGAACATATCATCTGATAAATTGAGATAGTTCATATTAGCATGTCCTGTTGTGAAAAGGTTGATGTTGTAACATCAACATATACATGTCAAATCACATAACCATTTTTTAAAATGGAGGGGGGGAGATTAAAGATAAGATGGAAAGGACCCATGGTGGTGATGAACATACCTCCCACATATCCAAACAGATGATAGGCTGGACAAATAAGGGAAGCCAAATTAACTCCTATAAAAATAATGTCCAGAAGATATTTCTAGTGCTTGAGATCAGCATGGAGAAAGGTTCTCACAATGTCATTCCACACAAGAGGATTGACAGCATTTGATGTTCTAACAACTGCAAGACGTTTCTCCTCCCTCTTCACTGAAAAGTAACACACCAATGGAACCGCATGAAGCTTGTTGTACCATTTTCCAGTAAATTTGTTGTACCATGCTTGTACATGCTTGTTGTACCATTTTCCATTAAATTTGATTTACAATGGATACTGACTAGTTTCCTAATCCAGGTACTTTTTGTCTTTCCTATGCCATTTTAACTTGAGAAATCTATCCAGCAACTAAATGATTTCAACTCTGCATCTTATTTAGTTCTTTGGTAAAGATACAGACCTTAATGATGGAAAAAAATGGGTAGCCTGTCACGGCATTTTACAAATTTGGTTTAGAACAGTCCATTACTAGTTAAGTAGAAATGGCATAGGTAATAATAGCTGGGAGGGAACCAAAAAGCCAGCAGAGAACTTACAAACAAGCCAAACCCAGCCAGAACCAAACAATGAGAGTGCTTCTTCAATGAACTTGTCTCTGAAATTTGTGAATGAGCCAAAGTCCTTCTCAATCTGCCGAAGTAGGCCCACCTTAGGCATGTCCCCTCCACCAGGTTGCATGGATTCCCAAAAGAAATCATGGTTCCAGACCTATCAAACACAGGATTCCTTAAGTATAGCAATACAACAACATCCAAGCCTTTCCAAAAGATCTTGGGGTCGGCTAACAATAGCCGGAGAATATTCATAAGACACTCAAAAACGTTCATTTTTCAAGAGTTCTAATTTGACATAATTGAAGGGGCAGTATCTCAAAAGACGCTCTATAAGTGAACCTAGCATAACAACTACTCAATCAATTACCCTAGTAATGCAAGTAAAAAAATCAAGAATGCAATGCTCACACATCTATATACCTGGGCAGCATTGTTGAACTCAGGTAATGGATTTCCGTTGTTATAAGTCACTTTAATAAGTTCTTCCAGGGTGCACCCATACAGTACGTCATTCTTCCCAAGCTGTCTGTTAAGAGCTTCAATGTAACCTCGGTGGTGCCCACCCCAGTGCAACTCCACTGCCTTTAGGCTCATATAGGGCTCTAATGCGTCCTATAAATTCACGCACTGTAACGTTATACTCAAGAGTCAGGTGAGAAAACTATTTGAAACCACGGAATCTCAAGGAACAAACAGTGTTGAAAAATTAGAAACTCACGAGTTCGTAAGGAGGTGTTTTGAGGCCGTAATAAGCACAAATTCTTCTTTGCTTCGAGGTTTTTATTTGCTTCCGTGACGCATTGCTTTGGGTCTTCCCTACAATAATAGCTGCCGGGCTTGAAAATGTAGAAAGAAAACAGCAGCTCATATCTGGTAAAAGGAAGAAAAATAAGCGATTTGGGCATTTCAACGAACATGCAGTGTGCTGATATAAAGCTTTTTACTTGCTAAGAAGCGCTTTTGTGTCCTTTTAAGCAATGATATAAAGCTTTTTACTTGCTAAGAAGCGCTTTTGTATCCTTTTAAGCAATGAGCACAGCCTTTCAGTTACAGCAAATGATTTGGGTTTCCTGTTACCTTCTTGTATCCTTCCTTGTACGCCTTAGAAGAACTTACACACTCCCTGATTTGGGTTTCCTGTTTCCTTCTTGTATCCTTCTTATACATAGTCTTATACACACCATGGACTATTTCCTATGAGAATATGATCAGAGACATGTTTGTCATTTAGGATGATTTTAGAGACCATAATTTGCTGGTTTGCTCTGTTCTGTTTGGTCTGTTTAAGTCTGATCTGGTCTGAATTGGTCTGTTCGGGTTTGGTTTGGTAAATGTCTGGTCTCTTTGCATTTTGTAACTACGGAAGTCTTATCTGGTCTGGTTTAGTCTGTTTAAGTCTGGTCTAGCATGATCTGTTTAAGTCTGGTCTAGGACTGAAAACAGTCCAAGTAAAAACAACCTTTAATGACAAAATATGTTTGTGAAAATATTAACAAACATGTTTTGTGAAGAAGATTCACGAATTAAAAAATAGTTTTCTAGTAGAGGTGCATAAAGTGTATACAAATAGAATTTTTCTTTCAATTGAAATGTTGGTTGTGCTAAAGATATGTACTTAGAATGATTATTACCTAAATTTTATCATTTATCTTTTCTTATGTTCTTTTATCTTATTCTTCGTATTTTCTTCGTTCTATAATAGTTGCAGCATTGTGATTTTTGCACGATTTTGACGTTCTTCGTATTTTGTTAGTCCCCTAGATTTTGATAAACAGTTATTGAAGATGCCAAAAGCTCTTCTGTGTTCCCCCCTCTTTTGTAGCATTAAGAAGTCAAGATATTGTATCTATCTCCAAACGTGTGCTAGTAAAATATTTTCTAAAAGTGTCTTGTTCAATATGATAAAAAACACAATAAACTTAACTGGAAAAATCTGACGTGCAATAAGGTTATATTCTATTACCTTAAATGGATCTCTCATAATTCCAAATAGTTAAATTTATTGTGTTACATAAAAAGACACTAAAAGACTTCGAACGAATAAACCATTTATTTAAAGTGGAACATAAAATGCAATAAGGTAAAACTTTACCTTAAAAAAAGGATATTCAAATCCTACCGGTGTATATTTATTTGATACAATCATTCTCATCAAAAGGCATACTGATGTGAAAAATGCGGTGAAGTAAGAAACGAATAAATGTACAATTTTTAAGTACTAATAAAATTATTACTGGACAATAAAATACAATAAGGAAAATTTATAGGATATTTAAATCCTACCAATATAATTTTATTAGACCTAGAAATTATATTGTTCGAACAAATTGCATTGCGTGTTTAATCAAGCGCCAAGTAATTCCAGCATGGGAGCTTTGAGACATACACAGAAGAAAATACTTCAGCAATCAAAATTAATTGAAGACAAACTTGACCGGCATTTAATGCCAACTTTGTACTGGGACCCTGAGCATTAAAGACACACATATGGGTTTATTTGGAAAGATGCTCTCCGCGGGTGAATTATTCAAGACAAATGCATCAGCCCGAATTAAAGCTCCAGCACAAAAAGACGGAAGTACAAATTGTCCTTGCCAGAAATTCAGCGGAAGAGATCAAACTATCCTAACCAACTGATAAGATTGATCAGCCAAAAGCCTATAAATAGAGGCTGAAACGAAAGTTTCTAACCAAGCCTGAGCATCCTAAGTAGAGAGATATTTCACTGAGCAAGAAGTGCTATTCAATCCACGACTCTCTGCTTAGACTCTTGCTTCACTAAACTTCTTAGTATCAAGTATTCATTGCCAAAATCCTAGAAGTTTAGTTCCTAGTTGGAGGTTACAAGTTTCTTGTAACCAAAATCAGAAATTGTTGTAAACACTTCAGGAGGACAGTTGTTCCCGGCCTGAGTGTGGTTAGATAGGTTAGGAGTACCTTTTAATCCCCACTGGATCAATTGAGAAAAACCTAAAGGATTGAGTAGCTTGGAGTGGTGTTGTACTCCTCGTGAAACACCTTCAATCTAGGCCAGAGTGTCAAGGCTAGATTGGCACTAAGTGTATTGGGCTTAATACATTAGTGAAATCCATTGGAAATAGAATGGGACTGGATGTAGGAGGATTACACCACCTCTGAACCAGGATATATTGTGTGTTGATTTCCTTAGTCAACAAAGCACACACCCAACACTTCTCGTATAAGAAATTGTAGTTTGCCAGCAGCATTTTAAGCAGTTGTCTTAACTGACCCAACTGCTTATCCTACTGCTTAATCACTCACCTTTTTTTGAGATAACCTTGTCACAAGAGCTTCGCAACATCACTGTCTAAAGGTACACTTTGCCAGAAATCACTTCTCTTACTGAAGCAGGTGGCTCAGCAGTTCACTGGTTTCACTCAACTGCTGAGACCTCTACTCAGGCAAAAACACCTTAAATCCTCAAGCTCAGTATCCAATCAGGAAGCCCTCATCACACTATACAAGGTCACATAATAACTAGAAGAGTCGCTCTATCAGATTCCAGGAATTCACTCTTCAAGTATAGCAGAGGCCTGAGCAGTCCCCTGGTGACCACCCAACTGCTGAGCCCTCTGCTCATACAATCTTACTTCCTGTGAACATCTCAAGTATCATCACAGTCTCATAACATCTCTAGTAAGAAGGCAGTTTGAACCAAGCTACGAATCCCAGTTTATAATACAATTCAAGCAGGTGGCTCAGCAGTTCCCTCAGTACCACCCAACTGCTGAGACCACTGCTGAAATACAGTTGTAGCTTCCTTTCAACTAAAGGATATTGTCCCACTGCCCTCATCATCCTAAACAATATTCCATCATCATTTTTATCATAAAGTCTGTATTTGTCTAGCAGTTGCCTCAGCAGTTCCCTACTACCTAGCCAACTGCTAAGCCAACTGCTAGCTATCTAAGTTCAATCTTCCCCAGATCAGAAAGTGGTTAAAACACCCATCTATTAATCTCTCAAAAGATTATAGATCAACTCCTCTAGAGGAAAATCTTGTAAAGGTCGAAAAGATTTAAAAGTCTATTCACCCCCCCCCCCCCCCTCTAGACTTTTACCCTATCTGGGACCATCAAGTGGTATCAGAGCCGAGTGTTCCTAGAGTCAGTTCCTGACTAATTTGAACTAAAGATCCAAACCACTCAACTCCCCAAACACTTTCTGAAATGGACAAACGGTTGACAACAGATTCTTTGTCTAACCAAAACATGTATGATGACTGGAGAACCAAGGATGTCTGAGATGAGCTCTCAATGATTCAATCAGTTGATGATCAAAAAGGCTCAAGTGATGAAAGCAGTTCATCAGGAGATGAAGAAGAGACTCTGATTTGTCTCTATGGAATGCACCATGTTGAAAACTTCTTCAATGACTGCTCTATGACCGGAACCACAAGCAATGATAATGATGAGGTATTATCTAGTTCTTCAAACAGCTCATTTCACTCTAGCTGTTCCAGTGTTGACATGGAAGCTCTACTCCTTCAATTTGAAAACTTTCAAAAGGATCACCTTCTTGTAATGAACGAAAACTGTAGACTTCAAGTTAATCTAATAGTAGCCCAAGCTCAAATGGGTGAAGTGATAAAGAGAAATGATTTTCTTGAACTCGAAAACTTCAGTTTAAAAGAAAGGTTGGGCTCCCTCACTACCCCTATTAGTGAGGAAATCCATCACAACTGGAAGAACACGGGATTAGGATTCACACCCTTATCCAAGCCATTTGAAGACTCTTCCAAACACTCTCCTACTACAAAAACCACCACAATCCAACAAGACACAACGAATTCAAACCACCAACAACCTCACTCCCAAACTCTGTCAAAGAAAAGGACTCAGTCCTCCTCCAGACCAAAATCCAAACTTCCCTACAATTTCAACTTCCTGAATAACCAACCAAATCAAAGACTTGGTTGGCAACCAATCAAAAAGACCAACAACTTATCTCAGAAAAAGCTGATCACCTTTAATGCTCATATTCCTTCACCCCCTCACACAAGGAATAATGGTCACAATCATATAGCCTTTCCTCATGGAAACCTAAATCCAAACGGCTATAGACCCATCAACACAAATCCAAATGGTCCTAAATTGGTATGGATGCCCAAACGCATTCAAGGGAAGATGCCCACAAACTTGTGGGTTGTTACTCAAAACCGATGAAAACGGGAAGGTGCTGGAGTAGCCAACATTGAAAAGATTTATCTTCAAGCTACTCCATGCACATGATAGTTAGCAGGCGGCTACTATCAAGTTATGAGATCTGGAAGAAGGACCCAATTTAACAAATTGGGAATGGGAAGAAAAAGGAGAAACAAAAGGAGCTGGAAAATCCAATCAAATGCGAACACTCAATCCAAAACATATGGGATTGAAGTTCAATCTTGTAAAGCATAAGCCAGCTCTGCGACAACGGTTACTATGTGATAGGGAATCGGGCTAATTATAGTTAATAATGGTAATAGAATAATATCAAATAATTTGTTAGTGTACAAGTGAGGGTTTGGGCCATGTAATTCAGGAGCTTGGGCCGGCTCTTAAGGATAGAAATCTTATAAGAGTGGAAGGAAGGAAGGGAAGGGGCACGCAGAAATTGGGATAGGCTTTGGCTTGGGAGAGGGGACTGCTCGAAGTGTCTCACTGTATCTTTCTTTTTCAGTCTATCAATTTCATCTAATATACTTCCGTTTACCGTCAAATTTCTGCGTATCTATCATTGGTATCAAAGTGCCGATTCTGGAGAGAGAAAAAAATGGAGAGTGGAATCGCAAAATGGGATAGAGACATGCGAGAAATGATTAACGATCTGCGGACGATCATCAAACAGCGGAGTCACAGGCGACGAGGCAGAGCCAGGAGCCCTCCTAGACATCGTAGGCCAACTGAAAAGCAATGCTCGACGTTAGCCGCTGTTTCCAATTCGCAGGTGCGCAATTCGTCTCACAAATCGCACTCGCGAACTTCGTCTCCCAGTTCGCAGTCGCGAACTCTTTATCTCAGGTCGCGGATGACAACTGCTATTAGTTTGCGTCAGATTGAGACCCGATCGAGAGCCTCCTCAATCGCCTACTCTCATAATCCATCTTCACCGCGAGCAGAGTTCACCAGTTCGCAAGCTTCTTCGTTCACAGCTCTACCCACGTCGCCACGAACAGAGGTTTCAATGCATATTTCCGCTTCACACAGTGCGCAAGTTGATTCAGCTTCTAGCCGTCAGCCATACATGAGTCAGCGACAACTTCCCTCCAAAGGTGCATGCAT